AACTTTCCAGGTACCGAAGTAAAGCTGACTGGTCTAGAATTCCCTAGATTGTCTTTATTCCCCTTTTTATAAATAGGTACTATATTTGCCTTTTTCCAGTCCTCTGGGATCTCTCCCACCCTCCACAGATCCTAGCTCCACTTATGTTCCCTATGTTAGCTTTTTTGGTGAAAAACTGAAATAAAAAAGGCATTTAATGCTTCATTCATTGCTGTGTTTTCTTTTAGTCTTTCCCTCTTTATTGAGTAATGGGCCTATTCTGTCTTTGGTCTTCCTCTTACTTCTAATGTATTTGTAAAATGTTTTCCTATTACCCTTTATGAGCCTAACTAGTTTAACCTCGTTTTTGGCTTTGGCCTTTCTAATTTTGTCCCTACATATTTGTGTTGTTTTCTTACATTCATCCTTTTTGTAATTTGACCCAGTTTCCACTTTGTGTGACTCTCTTTTTGAATTTCAGGTAATTGAAGGTCTCCTGATTAAGCCAGGGTGTTCTCTTACCATACTACTTATCTTTTCTACACATTGAGATAGCTTGCTCTTGTGCCCTTAATAATATCTCTCTTTTTTTAAAAACTACCAACTTTCCCGAACTTTTTTCCCTTAAACTTGCTTCCCATAGGATCTTCCCTACTATTTCTGAGTTTGTTCAAATCTGCCTTCTTGAAGTCCATTATCTTTATTCTGCTATATTCTCTCTTACTGTTCTTTAGAATCATGAACTGTATCATTTCACGATCACATTCACTCAAGCTGCCTTCCATCTTCAAATTCTCCTTCATATTTATCAGAATTAAATCTCGAATAGCTTCTTCCTTGTAGTCGCTTTCACCACGTTCTGTAATAAAAAGTGGTCTCCATTGCATTCCAAGAACTTGTCAGATAATCTGTGCCCTGCTGTATTATTTTCCCAACAGATGTCTGGGTGGTTGAAGATCCACGTCACCATCAAATCCTGCGCTTTGGATGATTTTGTTAGTTTAAAAAAAGTCTCATCCAACTCTTCTTCCTGGTTAGATGGTCTATAGTAGACTCATACTATATCATCATCCTTGTTTTTTACCCCTTTTATCTTTATTCAGAGACTTTCAACAGGTCTGCCTCCCACTTCTATCTCAGTCTGAGTGCAAGTGTATACATCTTTCATGTACAAAGCAACCCCTTCTCTCTTTTTCCCTGCCTGTGCTTCCGGAACAAGCTGTACCCTTTTATATCGATATTCCAGTCACATGAAGTATCCCCTAAGTCTCTGTGATACCAAGTATGTTGTAATTGCGGTTATTCACTAGTATTCCTAGTTTTTTATTCCCCATACTACCTCCATTAATGTACAGATATCTAAGACGTTGATTAGATTTCTCCTTCTATATTTCCTCGTCTCCTGCATCCCTGCTATGATTTCCTATGTCCCCCCCCGCCCCCCAGATTCTGACCCTTCATCCAGGTCTCCATGTTTTGGACTTACTGTGGATTTTTGTTTCCTGCTCCCTTTGAACGTAGTTTAAAGCCCTCCTCGGTAGGTTAGCAGTCTGTATCCAAATATACTCTTTCCCTTCCTTGATAGGTGGACCCTCTTTCTGCTCAGCAGTTCTTCTTCTTGGAACAGTATCCCATGGTCAGGGAAGTCAAAGTGCTCCTGGCAACACTGTGACCGAACAGTTTTACATTCATCCCAGGATGTGTCTCTCTCTCTCTGTCTCTCTCTCTCTCTGCCTGGGTCCCTACCCTCGACCAGAAGGATTGATGACACCGCCACCTGTGCCCCCAGCTCCCTCACCCTCACTTCCAGAGGCCTGTAGTCACGTCTGATCTGCTCAGGGTTATATCTCACCACCAGGTGGTTTTCTCTCAGGACTGGTGGCCACATTCCTTCCAGCCTTGGGGGTATGTGGCTCCTCCTCCTCTGCCTTTGGGGGAGATTCTTCATCCCTCATTGCCAGGGTAGAGAACTAGTGTTTTTTTTTTTTTTTAAATCTCTATGGAGGATTGGTTGGGAGCAGAAGTAGCCAGCATCCAGCTTCCTCCCTATGAAGGAGCTGTTTCCTCCTCCCCTGGTGGTGCCACTGCAGGCCTCCCCAGATGGATTGCTTCCTCAATCTTGGAGGTCTCCATGTGTATATTTTCAATCACTTGCAACCTAGCCACCTCCTCCTGTAGCTCTCCCATGTGGTTCCTGAGGGATTCTATCAGTAGGAAACTCACACACTGGATGACCTCCCTAGCCTGGCTTTCTGTGATGGGGACTACAGGTCAGTCTCTGCAAATCCACACCAGGACCTGTGTAGAGTCATCCATGATTGGGTTCTCTGTCTGGACCCAGGAGCAGTGTTGGCTTTGGCAATGTGGCCTTTTTGAACCATGCCCCCTCGTTAACACACAGGGGAAAGGTGATCAAGAATGATTTAGGATCAAGGGACAGGAGGCTAGAGCCTTGCTAGCGCACACTCAGTTAGCTGACCTCTGACCCCTACTCCCACACAGTCCCTAAACACACAGTCCCATACAGACCACGCTGTAAACTTTAAGCAAGCCAAAAGAAAAACCAAACAAACAAAAAACTCACTCACCCCAAGAATTAGTGTTCGTTCCTTCAGCAGGGGATCTCCCTCTCAGATTCCCTCGTTTGCAGCCCCCTGTTCAGGGAGCTTGTTTTGTTTTGTTGATACTCTTACCTTCTTTGTATCTGACTCTTTCGTGGTCTATGAAGTTGTGTACAGTGAGCAGCTGCTTCCAGGGGCAAAAGAAATCCTGGAAAGTCAGTCATTTGTTCTCACCTTTTCTTTGGATTTTTTTGGAGGGAGTGTGGGGAAGAGCTGCTCTGCTTTGGAGCATACATACATACATACATACAATTTTAAGTTGCAGTATACACAAGTATTTTTAGATTTGGCTCTATGATATTTAATGTCATAGTTCAGTGTTTGATACTTTATATCTATTAGTTAGAGCTCAATCACTGGATTGCACACAGGGGTGGCTCTATGTATTTTGCCGCCCCAAGCACGGCAGTCAGGCGGCTTTCGGCGGCGTGCCTGCGGGAGGTCCACTGGTAACGCGGATTTGGCGGCGTGCCTGCGGGAGGTCCGCCGGTCCCGCATCTTCGGCGTACCCACCGCAGAATTGCCGCCGAAACCGGCGGACCTCCCACAGGCATGCCGCCGAAGGCAGCCTGACTGCCGCCCTCACGGTGACCGGCAGGCCGCCCTCCGCGGCTTGTCGCCCCAGGCACACGCTTGGTGCGCTGGTGCCTGGAGCCACCCCTGATTGCACATTATTAGGGCCCCTACTGAATTCACAGTCCATTTTGGTCAATTTCACAATCGTAGAAATTTAAAATTAGTCAATTTCATGGTTTCAGATGGTTAGACCTGAAATTTCATGGTGTTGTAATCGTGGGGGGTCCTGACCCAAAAAGGGGTTGTGGGGGTTGCAAAGTGGTCACAGGATTACTACCGTTGCTTCTGCGCTTCAGCTGGGCTCTGAAGGCAGCAGCCATGGCACTTGCTACAAGTGTGGGTGGTACCCAGAGGTGGGTCTGATCTCCCCCCTCCCCCAAGAGCAGCTGTGCAGGGGAAGAGGAAGTACCATCCCTTCCCAATCCCGCCAGGACTAGCAACTGGTGCCCGGTGCATGATAGGAGCCCCCGGTGGGGCACCCTCAGCCCTGCCCCTTTTTTACCCCCCTCCAATAGATAGATTTCACAGGGGAGAATTGATTTCATGGTCCGTGACACATTTATCACAGCCGTGTATTTGACACAGTCTGAGCTAAATTGATAGTCTGGGCATTGTGATCCCTTAGCTCTGTTTTCAGGTCTTAACTGTCTAATTTAGTAAAAGCAGAACAAGTTTTCATTCATGCTTGTCTGTTTATGTTAATTGCCTTTTTTTAATTGAACAAGTTAGTGATAAAATCATGCAGTACTAGAATAGAGGGTTGTAGGCAGTCATTCTATAAATTATCCAGCAGATGGCAGTGACTACCAAGTAAAAGTATACCTGTAAAAAGAGCTATCTACCAACTTTACCTGTAATTTTTCCCTGTTTTGGGAGGAAAGGGTGATGCGGGAGGGGGGGGGGGGTTGTTGTTTTTTTTAACTCCCAGTTTAGGGGAGAACCATGGCTTTGGGTGTCTGTGTGCGTTACTGAAAAATAGAACGTGCAAAGAACTCTGAGGCATTATTAGGCTGTCAAAAAGGTATAAAGCCGGGTTAGGCCGTTCTTACAAATCATAATTTCTAGACTGGGGAAACAGTTTTGCATGGTATTTAAATTGCATGATGTCACTTTTCATTATGCATCAGTTCCCAAAAGCATGTTGCTTTTTAAATTTTGTTTGCAATCTTCACCCAAAATGCTTGAAACTTTTAAAGGAGATATATATTTTAAATATAACATTATTACATTTAATTAAAAAACAGCTCCAGGATAGCAGCTATTCTTTTGTCTAAAAGAAGTGTTAATTACTATTATCTGATAAAACAACAGTACAGGTTAAAACTTACTGTATGGCAAAATAAATTGTTGCAGTTGTAACTGAAGCGAAGGCAAATTTAGCAGAATTTAAATAGTGCATTTTATGGTCTGTTTAATCCATGAAAACAGTTATTAATGCTATACTAACATGCTTTGAACTTATTTGGAAATGACAAATGATAAAGAAAATTGTCTCCTTTGAAAGTTGGTGGCAGCATTTTGTAGAAATTGAGATTTTTAAAAAAAATATGTATATTCACCAGTCATTTTCTCCTGGGTGTGTCTTTTTTATATATATATATAAATCCCCGCTACATTAAATGCCAAAGAGTTGCATGAGTCTCCAGCATGAAATGTTAACATTGTCTTTTCCCCTCTCTTTCTACTATTCATTTTCATCCACGTATTTTTTGTTTGCCATCTTTTTTTTTTTTAATACTTCATGTTAAATTAATTTGGAAACATCCTAAGCTGTGCAACCTCTACGAGTAGTAACAGCGGATACCTGTCTGTTTCACTATTTAGTCCCTCCTCCTATGTCTCCATCTTCCAAATCTGTGAGTACTCCAAGTGAGGCTGGAAGCCAAGATTCTGGTGATGGTGCCGTTGGATCTAGGTATGGTAATTTTCTTAAAACATTAGATTGTTTTAACAATTAACAACAATTAAAATGTTGTTAGAAATGTTTGTAGGTTGAGAAGTGCTTTAAAATACTATTGAGTTAGTGTTGATAACTTAAAATTTGTAAATGTCCAAGTCAAATTTTATATGTTTAAGTCCTTTTAAGATAAACCACATAACATCTCTTGTTCTAAAGCAATTCATGTTTTTTACTCTAATGATTATGTAAAACCATTTTATTCTCTGATATGGATAATTCTCTTGGAATGTATTTTATTTAAATACTGAAGCTGCAAGTAAAATGTAAAATGAAACTTTGAATTCCTTTTTAACTTTAAGGAGAATCAGATATGTTTGTTTCTAATTGACCCATAGTTTAAAGTGGGTGGGAGGAAAGAGGATGTTATATGAAAGGGGTCTTTTCACTGCCATATCATGTGCACTCTCTTCAGATAGTAGGTAAATTCTCATAATAATTTGCTCAGAAAATCTATTAATTGCCATAGCGATTAAGGTATTATGCCACTATCAAATATGTTTTTTAACTTATCACTATGTTTATATTATGGAATAACTTGTTAAAGAAATCTAGAGGATAATTGTTTTAGGTGTGCTTGCACATGAGTTTTGCTCCTTTTGGAAGAAGGTTAAATAAGATTTAAGTTGTTTGCTATAATATTTATCAAGACGCACATATTCATGTCTTTTCCACATACTTGTGTTGTGGCTGATATGTCATTCTCATATTTTGCATACCCTAGGCTTTGAAGAATCAGTGCTTGCACCCCATTTATGTATAGTTTAAATGTTGCTATTCCCACCATCCTAACTGTAAAAAACGTGATTATTTTCATAACCAGTTAGTGGCATTAACAAAGTTTAGGTTGTTGCTAAAAAGAGCAATAAGCAAAAACAGGAGAATGCAACACGTCACTAACATGGAGACACGTTGCTTTCCTGACTGCTCGTGGACACTATACCTCTTGAATGCAACTTTGTGTTAATATTTCATTCAATCTGTGTGGATCGAACCCACTTTTGATGTAATAAAATATCCAGTAATATTGCTCTTTCATTTAGTAACAACCAGATTTTAAGTAGTACAGTCCACATGTGACATGAGATCTGTGAATCGTTTCTATTATAATCCATTGGGTGGGAGGGTTATTCTCTGCTAACATTATTTTAATCTAAAATATTTGAAGATTAAATTTCATTCATGTGTAATATTGAATAGTGAAGTGTGTATGAAACATGTTTGACATGAAACAAACTTCACATGTACATTTTATGGTGAATTCATCTCCAACTAATGAAAATATTATTGTCCTCACCATTGTGTATTCTGCACGTATAGTTACATAAATGCATGTCACACAAATGTAGAGTAGGCACAGGTTCTTGAAAACTGTTGAGAGAAAATAATACCTTGCACTTCTATAATTTCATCCACGTATCTCAAAGTGCCCTACACATTAGGATTAACAGCAATTTTCAGGGTTTGGAAGTACAGTACAGCAATTTTCCCATCTTGCAGATGAGGGAACTGAGGCATAGGTAAACAAACTAATTTGCTGAAGATCAAATAATGAGTCAGTGGTAGAAAAAGAATAGAATTTAGAGCATTACATTGGGTGTCAGGAGATCCAACCACCAGACAATACTTAGAAATAATTTAAAGTACTAAAATGTCTGCCTCTATGTATAGTATATTAGTACATATGGACTCTTGGTGAGACATACTGGTATTCAAAAAAATCTTGAATTTGGAAAATCATTCTGCAGGAATAGTTTAGTATGATCGCTGCTAGAAACAGTTCTAAGGAGTTAACCGAATTTCAGAGGCCCATCAATGTGCCCATATCAGTACACATCAGCATTTGAAATCTAGTTCTAAAAGTTTGATACTGAACTGAAAATGTAAAACTGATCCTTTTTATTTTTTTCTCCATGTTTTTAACCCTTTAATCCCAACATTCCACTTCAGTTGCATGTTGAACAGCTGTGAGATCACATGATTACAGTGCACCTCTCATGCAGCAACTCTGTTTACAAAGATTGTCTTCCTGGTTAGCTTAGCATCTCCTCTGCATTTTTATCTCTCCCTTATGCTGGCTGGCACACAGCTGCAGTTCTTAACTACCCGATAAGCAGTAAACCACTGTTCAGGCCCTACGTCCACTGCTGTTATCAATTTACCTGACTGCGTCTCCTGTCCTTGTCATCAGTAAACCATTTTTCATATCTGCTGCTTCTTATCCTCAAGTTGCTGTGTTTATTGCAGCTCTTCTGCCTCTCTTTCCCACTCCCTATGTTTCTCAGGAACATTCAGAATAAAAAGTCAGGGCTGTAGAGAACAATTGAAATATCACATATTGAAACCCAATATCACTTACTATTCTAACAGAGAATGTTAGAGTATATTGAGGTATATATTAATAATGTACACTTTTATGCCAGAAGGATGTTGTGAGGCTTTAGTTAATATTTATGAAGTATTAGGCAACTGACTAAAGTTTAATCATTAAAGCAGACGGATAATTCATACTTTAAGGCATGTTACATACTTAGCAGTATATTATGTCACAGTCACCCCAAATAAAGGGCTGAACTCCAATCTCAGAATGCCATTTTCGTTTCAGAAGAGCATCTCTGGTTAAAAAATAATAATCCTCCTCCTCCAACAAAAAGTGTAAGGATTGAGACATTACAAATGAGAAATCTTAAAGGACATAATATTCCTTATACCAATGAAGAAACATGAGTGTCAGGGAGTGAGTTTGAATGAATGAGCAGCCTCTAAGAAGCTAGGTTTTATACCAAAGCAATGTGATTCAGTTTTCTGAAGACAACTTTAGAGTTGAAAAGAGTGAAAGAGTTTGAACATATTAATTTGCTTCAACAATCAGTACATCTTTGCAAAACTCTGATGGCATGTTTTATGTAGGAGAGGGAAGGAGAAACTTACTAAGAAAAAACTTAACAGTACGCTCAAAACAATTTATTTTGGACACATAGACAATACCGCCCATTTGCAAGTAATACATAGTCAATCTTCCAATGACTTGGAAAACTATTGTGTCCCTACTTTCGGACAGTAAAACCAAAGCTTTGCATTTCTAATTAAACCATTACTGAAAGTTGGTGCCCTTTAAACCAAAACTTGCTACTAGAACTACCTAGTACATCATTAAAGATACTGAAAATTTAATTTAATATTTTCACCACTCTGTATTAAACTATTGGGAGCAACTTTACATCTTTCTAGGAACTCTCCAGTTCCACTGAAAAATAACTTCAGTCTTCCTAAAATTCTCTACAAAGTATGGTAGCATATGCAAGCTTACTAAAAGCAGATGTTCTGCTGCTAATATTTCACGTATGTTTGTTTGAAATTGCTGCTTTGTGCCCTGGTAGAGTTAGAAGTAGACACCAACACTAGATGAAGTAGATTTCCCTCCCCGCTCCAGGCAAGACTAAAATATAACGAAGGTCCTATTTTATATAAGTGACCTGTAACAGATCCATTCCACTTCTTATTCTTATATACTGTGCTGAATACTCACTATTTTGAAACATTTTAATATAAAGCCCACTGTTTTCTAGGATACTGAATATTTTAAATTGGCTTTAAATCGGATGACATTTGTAAGCCCAAGGCAGTGCTTAACCCATAATTACAGCAGTGTCACATCTTGGAAACTCTAGCAGTTCTGTATCCCAGTGGAAATGCATTTTGCTTCTCTACCAAAAAGTTTGTGTTGACTCATTTCCTTTACCAATATGACAATTTCCTGCACATATTTAATGCTTTGGGCAAGATTGCAGTACATTAACAAACCTGACTTCGTATGACATAACCAAATTAGTATAGCTTTAAAATGAAGTTTAAAGTTTAAAACTTCCTAAGCTGTTTCAAATGGATTTTTATTCATTTTGCTTTCATATGGGCTACTTTTGTCAGTGATTCTGCAATGCTTTAATTTCCCATATCTGAAATAATTGAATGACTAATTGCTCTGAATTGTATGTTTCTGTTTAACTGTTTTATACTTTTTGCATGTATTGTAGCATTGAATGTTCACTGAATTTCCACTAACTGACATTACATTTTGTTTCTTTTAAACAATGAAAAAAATGTAAACTTACAATAGCTTTAACATTTCATAGTGTGTATTTGCTTCACTAATCTCTGGCCTCTTTTGCTAATGCTGCATGGTTGTTCAACCTACGGTATCAGGACGCTGCATTGGGATACTGATCCATCAGTTCTTCAGCTCCACTCTGATTCCGATCTGGGGTATTTCATAGATTTTATATTCCCTCTTCTGTGTATTTATAAATATACAATTTATATATATATCCAATATGAGAGCTTTTTTAAAAATGAATTTTAAATTACTATTAAGGGAACACAAGTTCTGAAAGTAATCAAAGTTCATGCTGTCCCTGGGTTTAGTGCAACTGGCCTATAGTAGGCAACTTCAGTCTTACTGTAATTGCAGGTTTATCATTTTTCCAGCAATATGTTTCACTCTTAACATTTTTTATCTACATCTTTTTTCTTGGCAAGACAAACTATAAAATGTCATTCTATTGAGATAAAATAACTACACATTTAAATATATACAAAATGTGTCTAATATAAGAAAAGATGGGAACTCATTGTTTTGTGGCTAATGTATCATGAAGTCTATTATAACTTGTAAGCTTTTTCATTAAGCCCCACATCATGTTATAGAATTGTATTTGCCTTCCAAAAATTAAAAAAAGAAAGAATCTGTTAGAATTTTTCCTTGAGCCTATTTAGTCTTAATGGATTTTTTAAGTGTGGGAGAAGATGATGGAAAGATTAATTTTCACATACTGCTTTTTATTGCTGGATTATTGGAATAGTGATTAATATACATATCGAAGTTAATAGAAGTTTTTTTATAAAAGTTCTCCTGAGATGGGTCTAACTTACGCTATATTATATATATATATTGTGTGTGTGTCTGTGTTGCAGTTAGACCCATTTTGTCCATGTCAGTATTTAAATGAGATTTTGTTCTCAATTTTTCTTGTTAAATCTTTAAGTTCTTTAGTATTCCGTTCAGGGATATTATACTACTGTTTGGGAACAGACTTACAGTTCTAAGTCATAAATAATAGGTTTGGGAGAGCTAAGGAAATGGCCAGCATAGTTAAATGATACTGGGAAACTGTCATTAATTGCAGAATAATTAAACAATTTTGCAAGCTATGCAGTCTTGGAACCCTGGTCCTGCAAATATCTTTCATGTGAGCAAGGAAAACAACGGTAGTGCTCACATGAGTTAGGTTTGTAAAACAGATCCTTTAGCCAGTGAAAAAAAGCCTTGTCATACACTAAGATTTAGGAAGCCTTGAAAAACACTTTGTGTAAAGTCAAGAAATCCAGATATCTTTGCCTTTTTTCTTTTTCTTCTAGTCTGTGTGTATAAGCCAGCCACCTTTTAAAAAATAAAGCTAGCATATCAATAACATACATAGCATTTTTCAGATGATAGCATCCTTTGGATTTAAACTTGATTTTTAGAGTGTGGCGTGAGATGATGCCTTGCATATCACTGCAGGCAATCTGAAACTTTATAACTTAGTCATGATTGTATTAAAAATATCAGTTGTTCTAATGTCTCTGTTCATTTTATTTAGACGTGGGCCTATTAAACTTGGAATGGCTAAAATTACACAAGTTGACTTTCCTCCTCGAGAAATTGTTACATACACAAAGGAGACTCAAACACCAGTTATGACTCAACCAAAGGAAGGTGAGTGTTAACTTATACTACTATTGCATGTATTTTTTCTGGTTATTAAAATGTATCCAGACTATTCTAGGACAGATGGAGATCAGTCATTTTCTACTTGATGTTTTATATTTTACAAAATAAATAGTCTTTCAGAGCTGGACATGGTTAAGTGTAAATTGATCTGTGGGATGACTGGTAATGTCTGTGAAGTCCATATACGTCTTTTTAAAGAATGTCATTCTGCATCTTGTAATTAATTAAAGGGAACCTATTAAGCACTTGTATTTTCCTATCCCAAATACACAGTTTTCTAGAAGACTTATACAGTCTGTTTAAGCAATGTAGAATGTGTTCTGTGCACATTAAGGTAACAAAATCAGTTTATTTGAAGGCTTATGTGTTCTTAAGCCATTTGTGGCATGCTGCCATCACTAGCATTTGATTGAAAAAATGACACTCTAAGACTTTTATAAATTGATTTTTATGTGTAGGGACAGAGACTGCCCTTAATCATTGATCAAATTTCCATTGATGAGAATAGGAGTTGCATATGCTAATCACATTTTTGACTCTTAGTTTATGGTACAAACTGAAAACAGTTGGAAATTTCTAAGTTAAAGCTTCAGTTGTAACTTGCTGTCTTTGCAGGAAAGTTTTGTTTTGTTTTTTTAAAGAAGATTGAGTGGGTTTAATTCACTTGCTGTTAACCTTTAGAGACCTGGGAATTAGATCACAAATGACAATACTTGGTCTTTGCCTAGTCCTCATCAGAAAAACACGGAATTGTTCAGTGTGACTGCCTGACTGATCTCTGATGAGCAAGTTTACTATGAGAACATAAATTGAGGGCCTAGAATTTCAACTTCCATTTTGTACTTCCTAGCTTTCTTGGGGTTTGTGTTTAATTTTCTGATATCTTCTCAAGGAAATATAGATAAAAGCTATGGGCTCATTTATTCTGTTAAATTTATATTTTACAGGATTTAGTTCTTAAACCTTTTCATTTAAGAGAATCACAAGCATATTGTCTGAAAAGGTTTGATGCAGAATGTATAGCACTCTAACTTGCATCAGTACACTATCACTTGTTACACATTGACAGTGGTTTATGTTGAAGCCACTTATATTTGAAGCACACCTATATAGAAGAGAAACGAGAAAAAGCACATCACAGTACTATCCCTCTGTTGAAAAAGAGCTTTTCTTTCTTTCCCCCCCTTTCCGCGTCATGTAAGGGAATCCAATATGTGTTCCAAACACCTAACTGGGCAGGTTTCTAAACTTTATTACTTGATAAACTAGAGTAGAAGATGATTTTTTTTCTGTATTTAAATAGTATGTTTTATTTCCCCACAAAAATATATATATAGACCTAGTATTTATTTTATTTACCTGACAAACTGGAATATGTACTAATATTTCAATGCAACATATTTATTGAATATTCAATATATTGCCTACAGATCATAGGCAAAACAATTCTCTTGCGAACAAGCTTTCTACCCCTTCATATATGAGGGTTTTTTAAAATACTTACCAGTTCAAAGGCTTTTCTGTAGTTTTTCTTTTCCGTTTATGCATGGTGGCTTCTACTTGGAGCACTGGCAAAAGTGGAAGCTGAATGCTTGTTTGTCAAGCACCCATGCAAGGGTACATCAGTAGACATCAAAGGAATCACATTGTTCTTCAGAAACTCACCAGTTCATGAAAATGCTGATTTCCACTTCAACTGTTCTTTATTTATGAGGTCCTCTCAGTTCTGCCTCTGAGAGCGTGCAGTAGCAAGAACCATATAGCTGTGCATTCACATTCTACATGTATTGTGTTGGTCATGGTGTCTGCTGTCAGTGTTTCAAACTCTCCTCCGCTCTCCTGGCATCATGTAATTCACTGTTTTGGTGTGATCATACCTGGGTGGCATCTCAGAATTTTTCAGTGATAGAACAACTTTTCCTTAAAGAATCTTCTTGTCTGAAAAAAAAACAGGAGTTTATTGCAGAAATTGTACGTAGGAGAGTTTACTTTTTTGAGAGTACTAAAACTAAGTCTGCTAAGGGTTGAGTGCGTCTCTCTTTAGCATGTTGTTGCTGCAAATCTTGCATAGGCTGAGGGAAAATTTAATGAACAGATAAAATTTAGCCCTTAGAATTCCATTCTTCATCCAAGTATTTTACTAATAATCCTCATCAGATGTTTGAGCAGTAAGTAGATATTCCTATTTTATAGATGAGGGAACTGAGTCAGAGGTTAAGTAACTTATTCTATTCTCTCTTGCCTCCAAAACCATGGAGCTTGGATTAGAATTCATGATTTTCTGGTTACCAGTGCTCAAACAAATTTTAGTATTTCAGAGTGATTTATATACAATTTTATTTTAGAAATTTGAGTGGGGAGAGGTGTTTAAAAACTGGTAACTTAAATGACAAAAGGGGAACTGGATACATTGAACTCAGAGTTAAACCTGAAAATCCAGCTTAAGTCCGGTAACATAAATTTTTTCAGGGTTAAGATGACTTAACTCTCAAATTCTGTACCCTCATTGACTCTCCTAAAAATAACCACTCCTTTGCCTAGGAAGCTCCCTGTAGCATACTATGCAATACTGCTCCTTCCATCCATTTGCATATCTAGACCACTGAATTAGACAGTGTGATGGAACATATATTGAAAATACAACTGGTTATGTCTACCAACCTTCTAATATAGTCTAGAAAAAGGCAGTTCAGGTTTTTCAAAGATTAAACTTGAAACATTTTAAAGGAAGAATGCTATTTTGAAATGTAGTGAATTTAAAACTGATTTAAATAGTTTCAAGTACTACAACTGCCTCTTAATTCCTCTTCATGTTTTGGTGGTTTTATAGTCACTCTTTCCAATTTTTACAAATGTTTTTCTCTTCCCTCTTGCTATGAGATCCACACAAACTGTGAAACCTGACTATATGCAAAGTAAACAAATAGAAAATAGCTTTTTTTTCCCTGTAACCTTTCAGTGATACTAATTTTGTTATATATAACAATAGTAGGTAAAAATATTGGACAAAAGTGTATTTAAATTGACAATATTCATTTAAATGTGTTTTTGGTGACAGAAATAACTTCTATGTTGACACCTTCTACATCAGGCTCCCTTCCATGCAACTTTGGGAACGTCCATACTATTGGAAAACAGCATTTCCTAATGGAAAGACTGCAAATATTAAATGTGAGGTTCTTTGCTGTTCTATTATGATATGCAGTGTTGTAGCTGTGTTGGTCCTAGGATATTAGAGACACAAGGTGGGTGAGGTAATATCTTGCATTGGACCAGCTTCTGTTGGAGAGAGAGAGAGATGAGCTTCAAGCTTACACAGAGCTCTTCCTCATCTCTCACTCCAACAGAAGTTGGGCCAATGCAAGATATTACCTCACCCATCTTGTCTCATTATTTCCAGATTGTTCCACGAGCCAGAAGCTCAGTCCCAGGGAGTAGACCACAGTTCCAGGGAAAAAATTGCCCCACATTACTTTTAATTTATCAAGGCAATCTTACCTATAAACTGTAATAACCCATATAACTATTTCAAAAAGCAAGTGAGATACCAAAGTTCTCATTGTCTTCCCTCTTTCTTCCTTCAGTTAGTCTCTTTTTTCCCCACCCCCTCTCATTTTCTTCCCTTTTTCAGATTCTCACTGGAAGGTGGAGAGTTAGCACATGAGTTGTGTGCTGAAGTGCTTTACTTACAATGCCTGCTGTGAGTGAAATTGCCTGGGATTGCATGATCCTTGTTAGTTTTACTCTCAACAGATATGCTGTAGTTAAAGAGCTTTTGTTCAGGAAAGTGACTATGAACTGTCTGCCTCCCACTGGTGATTACCAGAACCCTCCCTTGGACACGATAAGCTGGGATGGGTGGGTGCAAGCAAACTTAAAAGTTCCTTCCTTCCTGTTTGCTTGAGAACTACTGCTTTAATTGTATTATACAACTGGTATCGTGTATGTGCATTTCTCAAAAGTGACTTGACACTTGAATTAAGAAATGGGACTGACAAATTTGCTTTGAAGCCTGAAAGTCTTTCATATGACTTCTTTCCAAATACATCTTTAATAAATAACTGGGAATTATGCTCCCACCTCTTTAATATGTGGACTACAAATAATACAACAGTCAGAAGGTGAAATTGCCACAGAAAACGGGAGTCTTGAAATGTAGGATGCTATGTGTGACGTTGTGCAGTCTATATGGTTTTATAAAAACATAAGAAGTGAATATAATGTAACTGAAATATGCTTCATGCAAAAGGTCTCTTGTAAGGTATCATTACAAAGCTTATAATTTACTGAGTGTGATCATCCTATTTGTATAAATGTACCACTCTTGTATCTAAAACTAGAAATATGAAATATAACTCCGAGGGCCTATTGTAATTATGCAAAGTGTGGGCCATTAATAGTGGTTTGGAATCTTGATGACTCCCATTAACCAGGACCATTGTCTGCAGATGGCTGTGTTTACCTGTTAGTCTTCCTGTATATGTGTGTGCTGGCAAGTGGGTAATGAAGTCTTGCAGTGACATGTGATCATGTCACCTGACCTGGAATCCATCTTTAACCTGGGTGCTTTTCCGGGGGGTGGAAACCCAGAGGGACAAAGGGTTCCCGCCTTATGCAAAAGATATATAGAGGGGTGGAAGAGAACAGAGGGAGAGAGGAGCCATCATGAAGAATCCCCTAGCTATCACCTGAGCTGCAACAAGAGCTGTACCAGGGGAAAGAATTGTGCCCAGGCCTGGAAGAAGTCCAGTCTGAGAAAAAGCTTACTGAAGCATCTCTGAGGGTGAGATTATCTGTATTCAGTTTGATTAGACATAGATTTGCGCATTTTATTTTATTTTGCTTGGTGACTTACTTTGTTCTGTCTGTTACTACTTGGAACCACTTAAATCCTACTTTCTGTATTTAATAAAATCACTTTTTATTAATTAACTCAGAGTATATATTAATACCTGGGGGAGCAAACAACTGTGCATATCTCTCTA